ATCTTTCTTGCGCTTTTTTATTGACATCAGCCGCACAACCGAGGAAACCCGGAACTCACAATACTGACCATGCGTTCATTACAGTAATTATTGCTGCCAGTAGGTGGCAGTACATTACATCCCCCTCCTTAACAAGGAAGGGCAACATTTCACTGCTAACGAGTTACGACCCAATAACAACATTATGCCAACACAGACCTAACACTGAAGTTCCCTAAGAGCTTACTCCTCCTTGTTACCAAGTAACCAACACCATAGACCGTAGTGTTAGTGATAGTCACAATAGCCCAATACAGCAATAACTGAACACTGAACCATGGCTAACTGGGCTGTCTCACAACTTGGAAGGAGAGGTTACTAGCACTTCACTTCCACAGGCGTCTTTACCACACCTGCCCCTAGTGGCAATGCGACACTTAGACTCAATCTATAGCAGATGGGTTATCAGGAGGTTTTACAGTCCTGACTCTCTTGGTGATGTACTGACCAACTGGCTGGGTTTGAGCAGAGCTATCCGGTTGGTTAACTGCCACTTCTGGTAACTCTGAGGAAGCTGGGAGATGTGGCTCCTTGTCCTTGTATGGGCCTGATGGGTCTACCCACGGCTCGGCGCACAACCTATGATGGGGTTGGTTAGCGACTGCAGTGCTTCTGCGAAGATGTTGGACGTTTCGGCGATACTCTTTGTTTCCGCAGTCCACTACATATGACCGGGACATGCTGTGCGGCCTAAGCACAACTGCCGGGGTCCACCGCCGTTCTCCGGGATATGGCTGTATCCTTACCTCCTCTCCAGGCATCAAAGACGCACGCGGTTTGCTCGCCCTCTTCTGGTCGTAATAGAACTTCTGGGTGGCCTTGCCCATGTGCAGCTGACACTTGACCTGCACTGGGTCGTAGGTAGCTGGGGCCAATAGTACTCGTGCGGCGGGCAGTTTATTTCGGGGTCTCCTGCCCATGAGCAGCTGGGCTGGTGACAGACCTACTGTCTCTAGACGGGTCGTCCTATAGTCCAGTAGTGTGAGATATTTGTCATCAGCTTTACTCCAAAGCTTCTTTACTGTCTGGACTGCCCATTCCGCTTCGCTATTTGAATGTGGCGTATGCGGCGAGGAAGTGTTATGTATTATGCCATAATCCTTACAGAAATCTTTGAATTCTTCCGATGCAAATTGCGGGCCATTGTCGGTCCGGAGCGTTGTGGGAATACCATAGCAGCAGAACTGACTCTTGAGGGCCTTTATTGTTGAGCGGCAAAGCAGATCTTTCAGCTCCTCGACTTCTATGTACTTCGAATAGTAGTCCACTATTAGAACATAATGCTTGCCCTCAAACTCGAAAAGGTCGGACGCTACTTCTTCGAATGGAAATAAGGGTGCCTCAGTCAGTTTCAGTGGTTCTCTGGGTAGTCTATTCTGAAAGTCGGCGCATGTGCTACAATCTCTTATTACTTGCTCAATTTCGGCATTCATCCCGGGCCAATACAGCACTTCACGAGCTCGCTGTTTGCTTTTCACCATCCCGAGATGTGACTTGTGGATAAGTCCTAGCATGTGCTGCCGCAGAGTGGGTGGAACGACTATACGAAAACCCTTGTAGATTATGATCTTGAAGAGAGAGTCAATGTTGTGTGCCAGGGTCCACAGGTAATTGGTGTGTTTGCACAACAAGAGCAGGAGGACAATGGTTACCGGTTACACAAAAAACCTGACCTACAGCATATGATATGTATGATGTAATATATTGGGAAGGACGAGACACGAGCCTGCAACTTAGCGGTCAGCCATCTTGCTTGCGCTTTTTTATTGATGTCAGCCGCACAAACCCTTGTAGATTATGCCGTCAGTCATGACTAGTTGGCTTCTGGAATTCCAGTATGGCTGAACTGGAATGGTGACATTCCATCTGCAATCAGGCCAACCCTGGTGAATTGTCTGTAGAAGGCCACATAGTTCTTCCCCTGTGCGCTCCTTTAATTCAGCATACTTTTGTGGAGTGATAGAGATAAAACTGAGCATGGAGACATGCTCTAAAGTTTCAATCTCCGGTGTGGTGTCTGGAAGCTGTGCTCTGGACAGCGTATCCGGTAGTTCCATGTCCTTACCTCTCCTGTACTTGACTGTTAGGTCGTACCACTGCAGGCGAAGGCGCATTCTTTGAATCCTCATGGGGGTGCACAGGAGTGACTTCTTGAAGATATCTTCCAGAGGCTTATGGTCGTTATACACCGTAACGTGGTTTCCAAAAATATAGTTGTGAAATCTCGTGCAAGCATGAACTATTGACAGCATTTCTTTCTCGATTTGCGCATAGCGCATTTCTGCATCGGTTAGAGATCTTGAAGAGAAAGCAATGGGTCGATTGTCTTGCAGAAGAACGGCTCCCAGTCCGCTGCTGCTGGCATCACTGAATATGTCTACAGGCTTTGCTGGATCAAAGTACTGAAGCACCGGTGGATGTGAGCACAGATCTTTGAGCTTGTCGGACTCCATCTTTGTCAGTGGGTGGAGGTAGGCATCTGATCGCTTTAACCTTTGCAGGGTCTGGTTTCAGGCCTGCCTCTGTTATTAGGTGTCCCACATATGGCACTGACGATTGGCGAATGCGACATTTATTGAGATTTAATCTCAGATTATAGCTTGTGGCCTTTTCAATCACTTTACGGAGGATAACGTCATGCTCTTTTACTGAAGGCGCAGCGACCAGGATGTCATCCATGATGTTTATGGCTCCATCAATGCCCTCAAGCATCTGATCCATTATTCGTTGGAAAATTTCTGGCGTCGACTTTATCCCAAATGACAGCCTGAGCCACCTGAATCTTCCGATAGGGGTATTAAAGGTTGTGAGAAAGGATGATGCGTCTACTAACTGTATTTGAAGGAACCCTGATTTGGCGTCCACGACAGAGAAGACTTTGGCACCTGGGATTTCTGAAACAACCTCTTCTATGGTACGCATTGGATGATGTTCTCTTTTAATGACTTTATTTAAGTCACTTGGATCTATGCAGATTCTTACTTTTCCATTTCGGAGAACTGCTACCATGGAACTCACCCATTCTGTAGGTTGGTCGACTCTAGTGATGTAACTAGAGTGATGTCTCCACTATCTTCCCCCTCAATGCTACTGGTTGTCAGTGGATGGGATGGATTATGCCCTTTGCGTTTGGATCAATTTTAATTGAGTATTTTCCTGGCAATGTACCAGTGGTTTGTGACAGCTCGGGAAAATCCTCCAGTCCTGCTGGTATGGTTTGGGTTACCTCGCTGCCCACAGTAATGTTTCTTTCTCCTTCTTCAGCTTGGGGTTTCAGTGAGTCTAGTCGAGCTATGAGACCTAAAGTCTCTGCTGTTGCACCACTTAGCACATTTTCCTGTGCAATGTTCACCAGCTCAAACTTGCTATTTGCTTCACAAGCTTTGTACCTTATTGGGAGTTCCACAGTGGCAACGGGTCTGAGTGTGTGGTTGGAGTACGAACGGAGCACTCTGTTGGAGCGCATTAACTGAGCAGTGTGGAGGGATAACTGTCCAATGTGAGGGTATTACACTTGGCACCTGTATCAATTCTAAACTGCACGTCCTGAGACAGAAGCTTGAGACAAACGGTCCATTTGTCATCTTCTGGAGCAACTGTTTGTGTCAGTTTAATGTTCAGAATCTCCTCATCGACTGAATCCAAATTAGACTCCATACTTACTGCACCTACTGGTCACTTGCGACATACTGCTGCCCAGTGTTTTAGTTTGTTGCAGTAGGAACATACAGAGCCTTTGGCTGGGCAGTTTCCCTTATTCCACAGATGTTGTGCATCTTTCCCACACTTTGTGCAACACTTGGGTTGGATGAACAAAGCTTTGCTTTTGCAGATACTACTGATAAGCCTTCCCCATCTTCCTCTCTTACTATTTTTATCTGTCTCTGCAACATTTCGAATTGCTGAGGAATTTTGATGGCTTTCGCTAGCGTGAGGTCCTCACCATTATCTAGCAGTCTTTCCTGGACTCGTTTTTCTCTGACTCCGGCAACTATTGCGTCAACCAGCATGTCATCCGGATCAGTGTATTCGCAGTCCATTAATATAAGCCTTAAGTCTTTAACAAAATGGTTGAAGCTTTCCATCGCGCCTTGCTTCCTTTGTTTAAAGCGATGTCGTGCTACTCGCTTATTTTTCCTCGGTGGTATGTAACCGGCAAATTTATCCAGTACTTAAGCGGGGTCGTCTTTTTCACCGTCTGCCCAGGCGAGCGTCTTATAAATTTCCCTGCCTTGCTCCCCGATCCATGTACCTATTCAATCTGCACGTTATTTAGCTGAAAATTCAGAGAGTGGCCCATCGAACACGAATGTTACGTGACTGAGGAATCTTTCAAACTCCTGATACAAATCAGCGGCATCCCAGTTTATCTTGGGATGTACGAACTGCGACAACGCCAATTTAGCGACGTACATGACCTGGACGGACTTCTGACACCATGTAATATATTGGGAAGGACGAGACACGAGCCTGCAACTTATGGTGCGTTCGATTATTTCTCTCCAACTTGGAACTTGGATGAAAACGTCACGAAATGTCACGAAAAACGTCACTTCCCGTCGGAAACACGCCCCTTTTATGATGTTGAAGTCGGACCAGATTTTGTTGCCCGAGTTGCCCCTGTGACGTAATTTCAACATGGCGACTTGGTTTGTTTGTAGTTTGTTTACCGATCGAAAAAAGAATATCGCTATGAATGTACTAAAATATTTTATAAAGCTTTTAATGTGGTTTGACTGGTTCGTGTTTCTTGTTTGTCTCTCTGAAAAATCTCAATTTCTCCATTTTCTCCATTTGGAAAACTCCAAATCTGCTAAAATATAAAGCAACAACACACAGCAACGTGTTCATGGAGGCAGCCATGTTTGTTCCGAGATGTGGGTAGCTCGAACGGGAGATTGTCGGACGTGATGTCACTCAACTTGGAATTTCCGAGTTCCGAGAGAAAAACGAACACACCATTAGCAGTCAGCCATCTTGCTTGCGCTTTTTTATTGACGTCAGCCACACAACCGCGGAAACCCGAAACGCACAATACATGCGTTCATTACAGTAATTATTGCTGCCAGTAGGTGGCAGTACATTACATATCAGAGACATTGTGTTTTACAATATTAATCAGAAATAAAACACACTTGTTTAAATACAATAATATTTGTGCTGTTATCAATTTACCTTAACTAATCTCCCAATTGCTGCCCCAATACCATACTCAGATCGTTTTAATTTAACCAGTTTACTTCCATTACACAAAGTACAATCACAGTAAAATAATTACACATTCTAAACACACCCATTTTCTGCAGTGATGGAGCCTAAGCTTAGCCATGGAGGCGGTAAACATGTTTATAGAAAGAATCTTAAACGATTTTTAAGTTATTAAATTACTGCACATGATCACTAGAATTAGACACCAATACAGAAAGTGTTACAGCAGTAGCACAAGTGCTGTTTTATGATTTTCTTGAAATTATGATTACATATCTTGCTAAGGGGATTGAGCATTAAGGCTCGTTACAGTGTCAGTGTCACTTGCCCTTCCCGGCTGCCGGCAGGGTTACGCCTTCACGATCACACCCTGCTCATACGTTCTTATCCTCCTCTGTTACGGGTATTCTTCTAATTCTCTAGATCAGGTGGGATGAACTCGGTCAGCAGGGACGTCCTGTTGAGATCGCCTTCCTTCCCGATGACTATCGCCCCCTGCAGGATGGTTTCTAGCTCCGACGTGAGGGCTGGTGTTTCATAGTGGATCCTGACCCAGGGGTCTCCTGAAGGTGAGAGGCATGTCCTGTTATTGAAAACCCCGACCTCCACGCAGGGCTGAGCACCTCTTCTCTGATGCTGCACAACGGTGTCCCATTAGCTGTAACTCTCAGTTCAGCAGACACAGACCATGCACAGACTTTCCACATGACAGACAGGAAGTCTATTCCCACCATGCTTGTTGCTAAGCTGCTAAGTGCGGTTAGTATCAGAGGGAACGTGTGAAGTATCGAATGTCCTCACCTCTGTCCACTCGCTGACCCAGCCGCACAAGTAACTCCGCCCCCACGCTGTGATTGATGGGGTCTCCAGCCTGTGCACGTCCCGTCCCCAGCTTATATAGGACCTGAGCCAGTGCCATGGCGTCCACCTCCAGAACGGTACCTGCAACAGCACCCGTGCTAGCAGGCTCTGATGGTGGCTCGTGAATGAAGCCCCGGAGGGCAGCTTGTGGCTAAATCAGAGACTTTTAAGTTTGCCATTGAATAATCAAAATGGGCACTGATTAAACAAATCAAAACATGAAATACAGAGCTTTGGCATTGACACCCTTGTGTTGAAATTAGCTTTAGCCACTGAAAAGAGTTCCATCGGACTAAAAGATAGTCGTTATAATAATACAAGCTGTAATTATTATAATGTAACACCTTTGATGCTTTTTTACCAGAACATTTGTAATCTTATTATTATTATTTTTATTTTGAAACATTTTTTTCAATGCGATTTATTTTTCAGTGCAGTTTTTTTTTTACACTGCAAGCCTTTCTTCTGTGTCAGTACTTTTCATTAAATTGAGTGGGCATAAAATGAAAGTCGACCTGGTAATTCCCACAGGAGCCGTGCCTGGAGACTGTACGGTACACAGTAAATTAGCAGTCGATAAAACAGCTTTCAGAGTGAGTGGGAATGGGGTCTGTCCAACCCCATAGGGATAACTTCACTAGCTAGCTGCTAGCACCTATAAGCTATCCTTAGCATTGTTCCTGCAGTGTTTTGCTAAACAACATGAAGTCAATTAAAATCTTTACTTTATGGCCGCTCAATATTATATGTAATAAAAACAAACAAGAAAGACATAATTGCGGTTTGGGTATTCCAGAACACCACTGTAAGAAGGTGATGCCATCCTGGAAGAAGAGAAGCTATCAAATATATGTAAATAATACATTTCTTGACCATCCCCTGCAATTTCCCCTCTTCCATGTTAAAACAGAGACCCTGGTTGTGTCAGAATTCAGGTGTTGCACCATTCTAAGGCTGCATTTGAAGACCAAATGCATCCTTGCGGTGCGACCAGTCTGTCCCATTTCAAAGGCTCCATCAAATGTGGTCTGGAAATGCGTCCTTCTCTTGCCGAGTTGTGAAGGATCCACCCAATGGCTCCATTGCAGCCTAACATATCCCAAGATTCATTGCGCAGAGGTAAAGTGGGCGTGCCCAGGTTAGGCAATAGGGGCGGTGCTTCGTGACTAAAGGGTTAGGGAGGGAACATCGGTGATGCAAATAGGAAATGATCCATAGGTCAGACCATCCCATTTGAAAGGACTTTCTGTTAGAAATTCCACAACTTCATAGATCACGTCCTTTGAAGAATGCAGTCCTTGACAATGAAAGTACTGACATTGAAGAAAGACTTGCAGTGTAAAAAAAACTTGCACTGAAAAATACAATGCACTGTCATTGGAAAAATAAATTTCAGATGTTATGGTAAAAAAGGTTCAAGCACTTTATATTTGTTCTTTATTGGAAGCTTTGATAATTTTAATGACTCTTTTAGTCCAATGGAACTATTTTCAGTGGCCAAAGTTAATTTCAGCACAAGGGTTTCAATGTCAGTGTTTTATATTTCCGTTTTGTTTTTTTAAATCAGTACTGATTTTGTTTTCTTCACTGCCAAACTTCCCTGGCTTAGCCCCCTGTGGGAGGGGCTAGCCTGTGGTCAGGGCTCCGCCTCCAAGAGGAGGGCGGCAGCTTTCTTTGTTACGCCTGCTGTCGTGTTGGTGGTGCCATGCCGAGGGCCAACCCCCAGCTCCATTTGCTCTCTGCTAACTTGCACATTACTTCTGCTTGGTTTCTTTACATTCCTCAAAGACACTGCTGCTCTTTCAAGGCCGTGAAAAAGTAACATCAATATTCACCCCATACCCAAAACACCTGCCAGGATAATCCCATCCCCAGACACCTGCCAGGATAACCCCATATCCAAAACACCTGCCAGGATAATCCCATCCCCAGACACCTGCCAGGATAACCCCATACCCAAAACACCTGCCAGGATAACCCCATCCCCAGATGCCTGCCAGGAGAACCCCATACCCAAAACATATGCCAGGATAACCCCATCCCCAGATGCCTGCCAGGAGAACCCCATACCCAAAACATATGCCAGGATAACCCCATCCCCAAAACACTTGACAGGTTCACCGCCAACCCTACACACTGTCATGTTTTTCAGCTACTAGAGCCCGTGTTGTCGTACCTCCTTCCTGCACCTCCAGTACAGTGCTGAACTCAGCTCTCCTTAGGACACTGAAATAGTCTGAATCTTTGGAGCACAGGGATTCAGCCACCTCTGCAGATGTCCCCTGGGCCTGCAGCATGGCCCGGAACCTGTTTAGGGCTTCTCCGCTCTCCAAGGCCCTGCTGATCGCCTGCTTCCCACTGGCCAGGGTGTCCACCATCCTGACCATTTTCAGCAAACAGCCCCCTGGGGGAACAGGAGCAAAGCTGTTTCTCCAAACAGCAGTTTAACTGCACGTCTGTATGACCTCTTGATGGCCCTTCTTACCCAGGCAGATGACCAGCTCGATCAGGTCTGAGGGCCCCTGCCCCTTCAGGCATTCAATGGCCTCGATAACTTCCAGAGCGTTCCCCACGTAGCGTCCGATCGGGCTGTCCATCCTGCTCAGCACAGCGCCCACACACATCCCTAACCTGCTTCCCGTGGTCACCTGTGGGTCAGGGCAGGGCGTGCAGTAAGCAGACTGCTAATGCGACCATGGGGTGGGGGGTGGGGGGGGAGAGCGATGGGGTGCTTCTGCATTACCAGGGACTGGGCCAAGGCTCTGGCACTTTCAATGTCCTGGGACAGAGCTGCCTTCCCGTACTTCACGTCCAGCATCAGCGCAGACAGACTTTCCGCCCCTTTCTTGGACATGATAGAGCCTGGAAATAGTTAGAAGCAGAAGCTGCGTCACTGCTGCGTGCAAACCATGCATGACAAGCCAACTAACCACTTAACCAAAGGAAATGCTGCACTGAAGCTTGAACGTTTCTGCCTGGTGGGTGAGTGAGTAACAAACCTGCAGAAGAGTGTCTATGAAACATGCAAATGGCAAATATGAATGTATATAATGGTGTATACAGTGTCAGTATGAAACTGTACGCCTGTAAATTACTTGACGATACACAAAATAATGAAAAAAAAGCATCCATGTGAGAGGAAAGGCGGAGCCCTCCCTCACTAGTGATGAGCGGCAGGCTGTCCACGGTGGAAGTGATGTCTCGCAGAGCATACAGGACCTTGTCCGTCGGCACCAGGCTCTCCGTCTGGCCCACAATGCAGCAGCCCACTTCCTCCATGATGCGTCTCAGCTGAAAGTGCCGCCACAGCACAGTGACGGGATGGCATCACATGACCCCAACATCACGTGCCTGAAACGACAGGCCACTGCACCTACCTGCTCTGCAGACTGGTGGACATTGAAGCCAGGGATGGACTCTAGTTTGTCCAGTGTCCCTCCAGTATGCGCAAGGCCCCGCCCGCTGATCATCGGCACCTACAGGACATGACACATCACCTGATTTCCGGCTGGCTTGAGTAAAATAACACTGGCACACCAAAACAGATGGTTACATTCCTGGTTCCTGTATCACAAAGCAGGATTTCTAGCTTAGCCGGATTTAATGTTCACTTACGCTTAGTTATCTTTATCTATACTCGGATGATTTGCAGGGTTGCCTCATTTCTATCCTATTGGTGGCACCACTTGTTCTCTAACATTCCCTTGTGATGTTTGACCAAACTTGCCCCCTCCCTATCATTTTAATTTTATTTTTTGCAGAAATTACCTCCCATACCTGCTGGCCTCAGTGCAGCCACAGGAAGCCGGCTATCCCTGCCAGAGGCAGACATTCGGTCGACAGGAGAGTATATTTTACTGGTTGACTGTCTCCAGTCAGCCCTGCCTTTGCAGGTTCCACCCACCTTGCAGCCGCAGGCAGCCAGAGCTGGTGCTAGGGGAAGGCTGACCTTGTCCCCCACCCCGCCCGTGGAGTGCTTGTCCACCACCAGGCCTGCCCACTCCTGCGGCCAGCGCAGGACGTCGCCAGAGAGCATCATCTCTCGGGTGAGGATATGCGTTTCCTCGGCGTCCATTCCCCGGTACCATACGGCCATGAGCATAGCCCCTGCGGACAGAAAGTCTCCGGTTCAGCCCACCCCCCTTTATCCGTGACAGTTGCCAAAATCACCTTGCTGCTCTTTCAGGGGGACACTTATTTGGAGTTTGCCCTAAGCAGGGCAACCCGTATATATCCAAACAGTTCAAGCACATGTCCGTATGAAATACAATGAGAGCAGGAAAAAATGGAAAATAAATTTTATGCATACAGACCAAAACCGCGAAAAATTAGAGCTACTTTTTATTTTAGAGTTCGTATAATTAGTTTTAATGGAGAAAACATTCCTTAAAGCAAAGTGAAAGCACCTATTTGGCTTTCCTGTATGGTTTGGCGTCTGACGGCATTGACGAAATCTCGGATCTCCTTTTCAGTAAGATGATCACCGTCCCGTTTCTTCTTTATCAGCTCCGGGAAAAGCACCTGCTGCTCGGGGTCTGACATAATACGATACGCTGAAAGAACAAGTTAGGGTTATAACACTGAGCCAGGAATCAAAACTGTCACTAATAATAAATTTCGAAATTAACTTAAAATTAAATATAACTTTTATATACGTTATATATATATATACGTTTCGTTTTAACCCTCTCACCACAGCTATTATAATTTTTTTTAATGTAACGGTTTAGATAGATTTAACTAAATAGTTAAAGTGTAAACACAGAGGACAGCTTCTCTTAACCAAAAGCTTCTCCCAGAGTTAAATCAGCCTTTCAGAAGCGCAGTGTGTACTCGCAGTCACGCGGTAAAGCTGTCAGCTGCTGCGAACGGTCACGGACGGGATCTCAGCACAGCAGCAATGCCAGCTTCGCTTTTATGAAGACACTTCATGTATTTCATCATCTCGCCCAATGGGGACTGTAGGGCGTGGTAAAAAAAAAAACAATCGCTTACCTATTAACCAGAACAAAGTTTTAATAAGGATGAGCCACTGTGGTAAGTACAGCTGTACGCAGAAGTGTCCTGTAAGCCAACGTTTAAACTTAAGCAATAAAATTAAAATACGCGACAGGTTGCAGCGTACACTAAAATGCAGGCAGCGAAATGCAGTGACCGAATGTGTTAACACTTCTAACACGTATAAAATGCTTTTTGGGTCGGAAAAGTACCAAAAGTAATGTTGTTCATGATAGCGATCAAAATTAATACAGTGGACGTTTAGACACGGGTAACACGAATTCGGGTGTATATAATGGCTTATTTTCGATGTCATATGTATAATTCTTAAGATTTTTATTGTGGACTGACTGAGCAGATTTGACAAGGAAAATGTGTCGCGCCTCTAGCCGGCTGGCTAGTAGGGGGCACAGCGGAGCTCCCCAAACCAGTCTAAGCAGTGTCCGGCAGCATACCTGCAGTCTGGGTACCGGTTACCCTTGCCTGTTTAAGCCCAGTGTTTCTCCCAGACCTTTGCTGGTTTCCAGCACAGTATTTACCAGAATGAGCAGGAAGGCTCTCTTTCTACACAGCTCAGGAGTACTTGCCATCGGCCAGGTGCTTAATGCATCAGTGATGTGTTTGCACACTGTCTGAGCAGCTTCTGGAAGATAATGAGCCAAGGCAGAGCCATTACGGCACCGTCTGGCCTGGCTTATTGGTGATCTGCAGCTATAGACTGTCAATACAGATTTTGTTGTTAATTAAACATCATGACTTTTTTATTTCTAAAAGGAATTCCTTTCCATCACTAGATCAAATTAAGTAGATTGTAAGGTGAAATATTCAGCGCAATAGGCCTAATTACTTAAGCTGCGATTACTCAATAAAATACATTTTCCACGTCCAGGAACTGATGTAAAACACATCTAGTGTCTGCCTTGGCACATAGTAATGTTCAGCTGTATTAGTTTGGGCGTTTCTGCTACAGGAACCAACCGCAGGCAGCTATCATGAGACGAGGACACATAGAATTCAAAACAATCTCTTCCTGCCTGAGGCCTAAGACATTACAGACTCACTATGCCTCCCCTCCTGGGCCTACCAATGTCAAATTTACTTTCCACAGACCTCCTTGCATCACAGCCATTATGACGTGTTACTGTGTGTTACTGCTATAATACTTAGACATTTATCTTGGTTATGGGTCAGAACGCATCTTGCTGAGTCATGGATCCATTTGAATGCTCTTGCAGTTCAAGCAACAAACTGCAATTGATACTAATGCACGTTGGTAACGGTAACTCCTACCTAACAGGGAACCTTTTGGGACAGGAATCCACTCTTAAAATGCAACAGTAAAATGCCTGTTTCTTTTTGTGAAAATAAAATAACACTGTACTAACAGTTTGCACCAAAGTAGATGCTTGATCTGGTCAGAAATTGTAGAAATAATTTTTTCTACGGGTCCTAAAATGCTTGTTTTTTCAGGGTGGTTTTGGCCGGTGTTATGGAATGACAAACCATTCCATCGGTATCATATGTGCCGTGAAGGTTTTGCCCCAAGACAGAGCCTGAAATCCTTGGGAGCTGGGTAAGGGGCATGGTGTGGATTGTGCTGAACATCAGACCTCCAAGCACTTGAACTGAACTTTCCATATACGCAGTGAGTTGATGTGTTTGACATTTCTCTCAGGTTATGCATGAGATTAAGATCCACAAAAGCCTGCATATTCCATAGGAATATTGTGGATTTCTCTCATCACGTGGAAGAAACAGACTCTTACTGCATGTGGCTTTTGTAGATGGCTTTTGAAGCCTAAGACTCCATTTCCCTCATGCTTCCCTTCCACCCATTCCCAGTCACTGGCCGACATCTTGACAGCAAGAGAAATTCTAACTGAGCTTGAAGTTACCAGAAGATGGCGCTATTTCCCACAGTTTTACACAGTAAAAAAGCAGCTAAAACACAGATGACAGATACGACAAACCAAAATAAGAATAAGATCCAGCAGGCAGTAAAACTACAATAAAAAACAACAAAGAAATAAAATAGAAGCTGGAGGAGATGAATAGAACTTTAAGACTCTGATAGGTGCTTCACACGGAGCCCATGCTGGATTCTGGTGCCCAGCCAGAGCTCACATTGACCTGACAAAAAAATCTGTCTCACTTTCACACTCATGCTTGGTGCCAAAAATGTAGAGCAATAATATCAGGATACCGTTCAGGAAGTTAAGATAACAAAGATGGAGGACCATGAAGGATGCAATGAACGCAATTTACTGCAAATGCTTAATTATTGTTAGCTTGGCAAATCAATTTCAATAATGTGCTGCTGCAGATTACATCCACGTTCGTGGGACAATGACAACATTCTCTAAAAGCCTGATGTTGCCATCGTGTACATGTACTATGTCTGGTACATCTGCTATCGTTTTAAAGTATTTCCATGAGGGTACAGAACAAACGTATGGTCCAGGTTGAACGTACCTCCTCTGGGTAACCTCCAGATGTAAAGTCCTAAGTTTTATTCCTAGACCCAGTGATGAGTGGGCTTCTGGAGAAGCCAGGGATTACTTTATTTAGCCCAATGGAAATCAATGAAGTAATATTCCTGGAGTAGGTTCGGCCTGCGGTGATTGTCAAGACATGATAATCTAGCCCAGCAAAGACAGTGACACCGTTTTGCCTGGTTTCCTGGCTCAGGGTAATGCAGCAACATGACACTGATTTCAGCAGGAACAGTAGCCTGCTGACAGAGATGCCAGAGATGTCAGTGGCATCCTCAGGGATTACAAATGGAGACTCGTCTGCTTCTAACATCCTTCATGGGTTTGCACCGATACGCTTTTCAGGGCCTGCTATATAGAAGCTGAAGTAAATGGCTAGAAAACGAATAGCCCTGATATCACTGTAACAGTACAGAAACACTATACAGTACCAAGCTGAATCTGAGTAAAATGCTACCGTCACTCTCATCGACTGAACGGGGTGGGCTTGCTGATGCAGCCCATGGCTTTTCACATCACCTCGGGCTCCTTCCTGGCTGCAGTGTCAGCATCTGCCCCTGCCTTCTCTAGTCGTCTCCCCGTTTGGCCAGCAGGTGTCACTGGCCATCCTGCCCTCTTCATTGTGTTCCTGTAGGTCTAGGGCCCTTTTGTGTTCCTCTATTCCCCAGGCCTGCCTAAATGGGCTAAGAGGGCAGCTGTAATCAGTCCATCTCTGTCGGTGTTGGTTATTTTAGTTATTCATCTCCCCGGGGATTTATATATATATATTTGTTTTTATATTTCCGTGTTGCCTTTTGTATTTATGCCTTGGTTCCTGGTTCTCTCCACGGTTTTTGTTATGTCTTGTTTCACCTTCCTCATATCACCTGGCTGGTCCCTGCTGTTGGCTTGATTGTTAATTACCCACACCTGTTTCTGATCTACCCTCATTGTCAGTGTATATATACTGTATGCCTTCCGTGGCCTGGTGCTCTTTTTGATCATAGCGTTTATTTCCCGCATGCTACCCAGATGGAAAGCTGCTGTTTGTGCTGCTCCTTGTATTTCCTTCAGCCTGTCCCTGTGTCACTGTAGTCTCTCTTACTTCTTGTGACACATTCCTGCCCTGTGCTTGGACCCCTTGTGGGGTTTTTGGTGTCATTGTAGTCCAGTCCGAATAAAATCCACTCGTTGTCCGCAGGCCGCCTAGTGGATCACAGCTCCTTCGCCAAGCGGTGTCAGTTATCCTTTCCAGCAAATCCCCTTCCTCCTCTTAGACCCCTCTCTGGTGAGGGTCTCTTCCAGAGTTTTACTCGATTGATTCATTAAAATTCTGCATGTTGACTCCATAGGCAAGCTCTGTCTTTGGTATTTCAGCCACGTTCAGATGAGTGTTATTCAGTCTCTGCATTGATTAAGTGGGATTGTGGGAGAACGAGAGCACTGACATAATCAGTATATTACAAAGCATTCTTAATCAGCCCTGGACACAGTAATTATATAGCTATTTGTTTTGTGTGTGCTTTTCCCAGGTCTGCAGTAAACATTAAACCCAGTTAACATGGGCTCCTGTACAGCTATGGATGAAGTTGACCTCAGCCTGACTACCTGTGACCGATGGGAGAGAGAGCTATAACAAATTCTGTTCTGTTCCTCAGTCCAGCACTGGGAACGGAAAGGCTTCACCCTCATGAAAATGGCCTCATGTTCAGAAGAGTTGTAGACAGAGCTAAACTAAGCAGCCTTAAGAATGTGATCTTATTGCTATGTGGAATGTAGAACTATGGTTATGTGATTGTGTTATAGTGTTATTTTTGTGACTCACTTTACTGCAAAGCAAATTTACCTTTGGGGTATACGAATAAAGTTGAACTGAACTGAAAAGAGCTGATCTCACCCACCCAGGCCCCAGGACTACCTAAAACATGGAAATACTTTCACATGTACTGCCTCTGCTAATGTTTTGTGCTTGGAGATGACGTGTCTATAACAGTTGACAACTGTAATTAGATGTGGTGAAATTCAGGTTAAAGACTTGAGGAGCAGCATGTCACAGATCCAGCCGGCTTTGGCACGAGGACATGGCATGATACAGGCAGAAAATGTGGACGATCCACTTACGACTTCACGAAACAAAGGTTTATTGAAATAAAAACTGAAAACGCTACAAAAATAAAAACAGACCTTGAGGGTCAGAACTAAAGGCATAAGCATAAAATAACTTACAGTAACAGGTAAAAGCAGGCAGGCTACAAACAACAAAACATTCAAAACTACACTGACATCCGACAATCAACAAATGATAACCCACTAGGGACTAAACTCAGGCAGGAACTTAAATACAAAAACTGAACAGGGTAATGACAAGCAGGAGTGAGACAGACAATTAACCAATCGGGGAGGGTGCAGGACAACGAGCAATCTGGGAAACACACAAGGGCATGCAACAGGTGAAGCTAATAAACTAAAACATTAAACTCAAACTAGAAACAGAATCTAACAATGGGGAAAACTGACAGGTAAAAACACAATCAAGGGCAAAAACCAAAACCGAATACAAATGAAAACACAAGGACTAGAAAACTAATACAATTGAAACACAAGGGAACAAAAAAATCTACAAAACTACAAAAAACAGAGGAGGCAGGATTCAAACATAAGACTGGATCACAGGTAGCCACATGCTCAATGTGTTGAGCCATGTGGCTGATAGAGAGTGGGGGACAACACAAAGACTGACAATAAGAGGGACGGGATGACCAGCGACACCTGCTGGCCGAATGGGGAAGGGACACAGACTGGGACAGGAGCTGGACCCTGACACAGCAAGCCTCACATTACCTTCCCTTCTTAATCCCTGGGTTACTTGTGGCTCTTACTGAAGGACAGTTTTAGCTTGCCTGTTTTGTAAAGCTAGATCTATACTAACTGATAATTCCCATTAACTTAGTGTGGTTCCACATAAATTAGTATTTTAATAAACCTTACAGTATCACACTGACTGTAGGAGTCAAATGTTACTGTATGTGTTTTAGGGCATTTTAGGGTAATACAGCATGATTTTAATGAGAGCCCTTTCTCCCACCCAGGTGACTATGTGATGTATGAATTTTAGCACCAGGGTTACTTAACAGCTATGCACAATTTGCCCTTCAGCTAAGGTCAAAATTATATACACTATATAATTATATTATTAATATTATTGAACAGTAATAACAATAATTCCCTCAAACTACCCCAAAGACGCGAGCAACCGTAACTTTATTACCTGGAACCCGTGGAATTCATTTAGGCTTATAGCGATGAAATGTATGTCAGTGTGCCCTCGACAAGCTTCATGGGTGAGGGCAGAGGATTGAGATTCCCGAGTCGGGAATGATACGGGAAAGGGTGTGATTACGCCTGCATGGCAGGGAAAAGACCGAGATAACGTGGCGGCCGATGCGGTATGGGTGTGTTTACATCCCCGCAGCGCACATCCGCAATGCCGCTCATGTCCAGCATCCTCACATCAGCTGGCAGCTTCCCGGAAGCAGACGCTCGCAGCCCTACCCGCACACCGTCCAGATGTGCACCGCTGCATCGGGGGGTATCGTGCAGCGACAACCCTACTCCAAAAGCGGCTGCTTTTTACATTTCAGCTATATTATTTTAGATTGAGATCGCTAAATTTTAGCTGCAATGCCCCTGAGTGCATGTGCTCCTCTGCGCCGCGTTTGAGGAGGAGGAGGTTCATGCTCGTCCGTGTCAGCCGCTCCCGTCCGTGCGCACCGACGGCTCTCCGGCTCTGAATGGGCGGCGCGCCTTCGCATCATCCGCAGTCACTTTAAAGCAGATGCTGGGAGAAGATGGCCGACAGGACCGAGATGTTTTCGCTCTCCACGCCGCATTGCCTCTCCCCTCCAGGCTGCAGGTAGGTTTGAGACCCGACCTTGCTCCGTTCGCGATGCGGGCCGAGAGGGACACTGCCAGGGTGCTGGAAGATGCCGAACCGGGCCGGGCAGCTCTGAGGGTACCGCACCACGTCCGAGGATGCTTTAATGTCCCGGCACTGTCCTGTCCGCTCGCTTTATAATAAATCTCCCCGGACGCCGATTGCGTTATAATAAATGATTTTACGGACCGCGAAGCACACCGGCTGCATCCACTCGGGAATCCAGGATGCAATCCAATAACAGGTTAATAACAGGTTCACGCGTGAATGTGAGACGGACAGCATCCTCCGGGAAGACGATATTTCCGCTGAATTTCTCTGATTTCCCCCCGTTTGGATTACGGAAGCCCACGCCCTGTTGGCTGTAAAAATGACGGCTCGTTTATATGCTTGTTATTAGTGGAAGAAATATGGAAGTTCCCCATATCCGCCATAACCTGTCGGTGTTTACGTAGTCCATTGCAGTGTGGCGCACCGATACTGGTGTAGATGAGCAGAGAAACTGCACATTACACAGACATATTTAATATCCGGTAACCATACTGTATTCGTGAATAAAATGTGGTGATTTTAATATTCATTTATTCCTATCTGATACCCAGGATATCGTAGGGTTATATACATAACACAGGGTTATTTATGGCTATACTGGCTTTCATACTGTAGTGTCATTGATCAGGGCATGTCAGGGCTTCAGACTGTAGTATTACTTGGCAGTGGCGGAACAGTGGCTGTACCTTGGCCGTTTATATACGTGTGTGAGTATTTACATACACATAAATTTTATATATATATATATATATATATATATCACAAATATTTAAGAAGAAGAAGCTGGCTTCATTTCAATAGCAACACAGTCAAGAAGGACAAGATAACAGACGTATATCTATGCATTTGTGTAATGAAGTACAGCGAGCAGGCAGGACATATTTAGGTGTCACATGCAGAATCACTGAAAGACCTCATTTCTGATGTTTCCCTCAGAGTGTCTTAAACTTGAGCAGTGCAATGATGTGTAAACCAGACCCAGAGAACTATGACAGTGGGGAGCTTCAGAAAGTAATATGGCCTTACGGTGACTGAGTGACTCCGGCTGCTGTCTGTGCTGCAGTTTTGGGGCCCGAGATGAAGAGAGGATGCATGCGGTGTTTCGGTTGATCACACACTGCTTGAGGTGTGTCACCTGACCGTGTTAGCTAAGCACAGAGGATCAGTCAGGGAGCACTTCATGGTTTTCAAGGCTGAAGAGGCTCCCACTTTTGTCACTAGTTAGTATCTCTTCTACATTTAATGGGAATATAAACCAGACCAGCTCAATTCATGTTGTATGTATGTCTCAATTTTCTTGCCTGTTTACTTTTTTGCAAAGGTCCAAATCAGTTTCCTGGGTTGTCTGTTTTCTCAGTATTTTTACAGTTCCCCTGTGAAGCAGATTACCCCCTTTGCACGCTGCTGTTCGGAACTCTCCCACTGAGCAGCGCAGTGCGCATGCTCACATTCAGGCCTTTATAGATGGGCTCAGGCCGGCCACTTTCATCAGGTTTGAGGCACGACCTACACTTTCATCTTCCTGCATCCCTGGAATCTGCTGCGTCGGGAACATTTGAGATAAAACATCAGCACCCACAGCCCACAAGAGCAGGATCTAGGCAGCTTTTGCATGTATTTATAACCAGGCGAGTAATTCGCCTTAGACTTTTTGAGCATATATCACTGGTAATGTCAGCACTAGAAGTAATCTAATTATTGGTGTAGTCATCAGCATGTTTATTCCTAAATAAACAGCCAGACATTGCTGAGATATTTTCAGAGGACCACATTGTTACATCAGCATATCCCCGTCTGTGCAGTGCAATTCACAATAGCCAGTGAAAGGGGATCATGCTCGTTCCTGTCACCCTGACCTGGAAAGCCGTCTCTTATCCCAGATCAAAGCTGCACATCTCTCCACATCTTAATTGAAGTGGGATTAGAGGGATGCCAGTTCTCTGTTCAGTATGCATACTGCATAAGCCCGTACTACCCATGACGTCACAGTAGATGGCAGACTCGCACAGTATACTGTCCTACAATCCATATCACACACATTCATGTATATTTAGTTTATTTGATATTTACTATATAACAGCAGCTCCATTAACAGTCAGAGAAGTGGCAGTATTATCCTGGTAAATGTGTGTGTAAAAGCAGAGTGACTCTGTTAGACAGTCCTGCCCTGGACAGGACAACAGCCGTGTGTCTATGAAGCCTCGTGTAAATCTGTCTCAGCTTGCTGCTGTGTGACTTTGCGAGTATGGCAGCCGGCTGCGGTGACAGCTAGAAGGGCTGACAAGGCCCAGGAAGTAAGTAAGTCAGTAAGAGCTGTTCTCTTCGTACAGCAGACTAAGCAGATCCGTGGGGGACTGGTTGGCTTCCAACAGAAGTTAGATGCTAATATTCTGTCCTGTTCTGAATTTTCATCGTTGCCATCAGTCATGAGCTACTTGCAGTGACCGGAGGAGAAGCAGCCTGCAGTCCCTGCTCGGGCTTCTCTCTGTGTGTGGATGTTTTCATTCTTTAGAGGATCCATTCCCCCCCCCCCCCAGGCGCTTCCTGTTGTGGTCTAAGCAGATCATCCCATCATGTGTCTTATTTGTAGCCAAATTCTGAGTTGGGAAAAGCAGCGTTTTATGGGGAATAGCATTTGGTCTTTAAATGCAATCAAGGAGAAAGCTTGACTGGAAAAGCCAGATGTTGATTTATGGTTGATTTTCCGTGCTGATGATTAGTGACCATGTTCTAATTTCCACGATGAGCATGGAATCACGGTGCCATGAGTCATGCTCTCTGTAAACAGGGTGGTACCTCACCACAGCCCTGCTGACGGGTCTGTGTGTGCTCCGCTATTGGCTGCACCTGCTCAGCTCATGCTGGGGGGGTTGGGCTGCGGGTTCCTTTGGAGCTTTGACCTGAAGACTACTGTCATCAAGACCCAGGTCATGTATTGTAAATCCATAACTGACCATGGCTTTGGAGTTTCCCCTGTGCCTGGGACCTCTCTCTGTGTGCCATATAACACTGACCATACATGGTAGGCACTGTTTAAAAAAAAATAACCAATCATATCACTTCTCTCATGCAGTTTTAGGGTTTAGTGTAAGCTGTTCTCATTGGTATCCTTAGTGTCAGCATGTAGCCAACTAACCAGTCATAACCCATATATGTATCCCAATCTAAATATGTCTTTCCTTTTACTTTTAAAGGGAAGCTTTTTGCAAACTTAAGAGCATGTGGTTTGGATGCCCAGCCATCTGCCTGTCTCTGTGATGACGGCGTGTGAGTGGGTACGGTCTCTGATGATGGCGTGTGATTAGGTACAGTCTCTGTGATGACGGCGTGTGAGTGGGTACGGTCTCTGTGATGATGTGGTGTGATTAGGTACAGTCTCTTTGATGACGGCGTGTGAGTGGGTACAGTCTCTGTGATGATGTGGTGTGATTAGGTACAGTCCCTGTGATGATGGCATGCGATTAGGTACAGTCATTGTGATGACGGTGTGTGAGCGGGTTTGGCCTCTGTGATGAAGGCGTGTGAGCGTGTACGGCCTCTGTGATGATGGCATGTGAGCGGGTACGGCCACTGTGATGACGTTAACCATATTGATTCATAAGGTGGATTAAAGTGCAGGCCAAGGTCTGAACCCCTGCTGTAGATACTTGCTGGAATGTCACAGTCAGAAACAGCTAATCTACTGACTGAACCAGACTGCAGACTGTCTGAAATACAAGTTGTGATAAATGATGTTTTTCCCAAAGTCAGTGCATACTAACAGGATGTTTCAGCTCCATTCTGAAAGCACGCTTTTATTTTATTTATGTATGTTTTATGTAGGTGTAGTGTTATGTGACCTCTACTGCTGTCATTTTAATTTTGGTCATTGATTTTTTTATTTTTGGTAATTTTATTTCTGATGTTTATGGATGGCTGTGTTTGGATCACATCTGCCTATAATGTGGCGCTTGATCATTACTGCTGGTCAGACAGTGCTCTGTTGAAAATGTACATTCTGTACATTCTTTTGTAAGTCACATGGAAACCCCGTCGGACACAAAGAGTGTGTGAAATCCCATACGATGAAACAGGCCCTTGTTTGAGATCCTGGGTCGTGGGCGGAGTTTGGCTCTGATCTCATGGCTTCGGTGGGACAATAAGTCCATGTTTGAATGGCATTGCTACTTTCTCTCAAAGTTTAACTAGCCACCAATAACCAGAGAATCCAGTATTAACCAGTATTACCAGTATTAACCAAAAAGACAATGTTGCAGCCAAATTTCAGTAAAAATGTTACCTCTCTCCTTGATCAAACAAAACAAAAAAATCACTTCAATGACCAAGTATTTCTTAGCCGATATGCTACAAGGTAGCACAGTCGTATTATCAGCACTTACAAAGGAAATACATTGATCAGCCATAACATTAAAGCCACTGACAGGTGAAGTGAATGACATTGATTATCTCGTTACCATGGCACCTGTCGAGCATGTGTACCTACCAAAACTGGTCCAAGGAAAGACAGTGAACCAGCAATGGGGTCTTGTGATGCACATGGGGAACAAAGGCTAGCTCGCCTGGCCCGATCCCACAGGAGAGCTGCTGTAGCACAAATTACTGAAAAACTTAATGCTGGCTGTGACAGAAATGTGTCAGAACACACAGTGCATCACGGCTTGCTGCGTATGGGGCTGTGTCAGAGCACCTATACTGACCCCTGTCCACTGCCAGAAGTTTCCACAACGATCACGTGACCATGGAGCGGTGGAAGCAATGGTTACATCATGTGGATGACTTGATGTGTGTGCATCATTTATCTGGGGAAGAGGTGGCACCAGGATGCACTATGGGCAGAAGGTAAACCAGCAGAGGCAGTGTGATGCTCTGGGCCACGTTCTGCTGGGAAACCTTGGGCCCTGGCATTCATGTGGATGCTACTTTGACACTTTCCAGCTACCTAAACATGTTCCTCCCCTTCATGGCAGTGGTACTCCCCAGGGCCAGTGGGCTTTTCCAGCTGGTTAACGTGCACTGCCACACTGCAAAAATTGTTCAGCATTGGTTTGAGGAACATGAGAAAGAGTTCAAAGCGTTGACTTGACCTCCAAACTCCCCGGATCTCAAATCGACTGAGCGTCTGTGAGACGTGCCGGACAGAGTAGTGTGATCCCTGGAGGCTCCACCTCGCAGCTTACAGGACCTAAAGATCTGCTGCTAACTTCTTGGTGCCAGATACCACAGGACGCCTTCAGAGGTCTTGTGGAGTCCATGCCTCAACGGGTCAGAGCTGTTTTGCTGGCACAAGGGGGACGTGCACAATTTTAGGCAGGTGGTTATAATGTTATGGCTGATCGGTGTATATTTCCAAATACAGAGTCACCACAAAATTACTATAAACAACAACTTTAAGAAAAACAAGTGCTTGGAAATTGTATCACTTTTAGCCATCAGAGTATTGAATATTGCAATTTCACTTGCTTTATTTTTTCCTGTAGAAAAAACAGAATTAGTTTCATCTGTGAATTTCATTTTAACCTTAAGATAGAGTTTTAGACAAATTTGGTTCATCTTATATGTTGATTTAGATGGTATGTTTCCCTTGTAGTATTTGCTCAGGTGTAGTGGGACCTTTGGGTATCTCTCATGAAACTGATATAAATAAATGCCATCTGGGAGTTTTCTAGACGTCCTTGATCGAATGCCATGTGCTCCGAGTCGACGCTGACAGGTGAAGCTTCAGCCCTGCTTGTGGGCAGCTATAACGCATTTAGCTCAGAGTCGTCGTCACCAGTCGCTGTCATGCTGTGATGTGCACACCGGAATTTCCCACGATGCCTCCAAACGAAATGACATGCTGGCACAGGGATAACGAGGAACATCCAGAAAGTAGAATGCCCTCGAGAACTGGTGTACCGCCGATTTCAAGCCCAGCGTGCCTGTCAGACGAGTCTCCTGTATGAGTCCCTGGAGATGTGGTCTGTTGTCTGCGTAGATGGGCTGGACCTGGAGGCCTTCTGTATGCCGGTGACTCAGATTAATGAAAGTTCCTGAATCTCCCACCTCGACCTTCCCATGCCAGGTCAGCCCAGGACATCAGTCTGGAGGAGTTTGATGACGAGGACCTATCGGAGATCACAGATGACTGCGGCATCGGGCTGAACTATGACTCTGACCCCTATGAGAAGGTGAGGCACCTCCATTAATAACATCATGCTTCTCCTGGGCTGTTTACTTGGTGTCTGGTAACACTTTGCATACCACGGATGAGTTGAAGACGTCTGTGTGCGGAAGAATTGGGTCCTGAGCAATCTGTTTTGCAGTCAGTTTTTGAAATAATTGGCTATTGGTATCAGCCAGAAACGCATCACTAGAAACGCGAAAGAATAAAAAACAATGTCAAGTTTATAATCAGTCCTGGGGGGAGCAGGGGGTGGGGCTTCACCACTGGCACTCCGCCCACTGAGCGTTACCACCCGCATAGTGAAACACAAAGAAAAATGCAGAGCAAAAGGGTATGAAAAATTTCAAAGTGCAACACACGTACCATGAACAAATGAGTGCCGAAAAAAGCAAAACAAAAAAAAGGACCATCAATAAAATATATATATTAAAACAACACGGCAAGAAAAAATCCCTCAGTGCATCAATTTTGTCTGTAATATATATATTCTTTTTTAAGGTACACATTGCAGAGCTATGACTCAATAAATTTAACTTTTGGACAACCTAGTCATTAAAAACTAATATATTATAATAATATATATGAAATATTTTTATATTTCAGATTTTTGAGCCATTGATTTTTTTCCCTCTCCATGTCTGTTCTAGAACTCCGCACGTATTTAGGAAATTAGTGTTTTTTCTAAGAGTTTTTTTTTCCCTCATACGTGATATTGTTATGTTCAGTAGAGATGCACTTTTTTACGTTTTCCAGTAGGAAAACATTGATGTAAATAAATAAAACCATAACTCATTCTAAATTTCTGACCTGACTTTTAACAAGTATTTTAGAGAAATTTTAATAATTTTGATATATATCGAATATCGATATAGTTAGCTAAAATATCGTGATATCACCCAGCCCTAGTCTTGTGTCGTTTGAGACCTCTCATGTCGAGCACTCGTATGCACATCCAGTCTTACCTAGAACCTTTGAGAAGAATGTCTGAGAAAGGTATGAAAGAGGCTCCAGACCATGACACAACATCACTCCTTCTCTGCTAGTCCGCAGTAGCCGATTAGCTAATTAGACATTAGATCGGTGCTTATGTAAGGCACACTTGTCTGGTCCCAGCATTAACACAATGCACTGACTGCTGGCAGAGTGGCCGTGTGACGTAGCATCGATTTGTTTAACATGAGTTCATCAGTATTCCACTGGATCTTCTGGTTCATGGTCTTGCTCCTGTTAATAGAGTCAGCAAACCCACCTCAAACTGAAGATGAAGTAGATTAACTCATGATGTCATTAAAATGAAGCCTTAATGACCAGCTCTCCACTTTATGTTCCTTAGAGCAGAGAGGTTGGGTCACCTGGTGGTCAAGCAGGACAGGCTCTGGTCTGTTGGGGTGAGGTCAGCTGCCTCATGGACCTACGTCAGCAAACCAGCTGGCAGCTCGTTCCCACTGCACTGCACCACTTCCTGGGCTGTTAACGTGGCCTCTGCTGGTCACCCAAACACAGGAGAACCCGTGGGCTTGACCAGCTGATGTTGCAGGAAGATCATTCTGGTTCAGGAAGGCGCTTTGCAGTCTGTTTGTAGGAGCAGAGTGGTGTAAACGGGGGAGCCTAGACTACGGCAAGCGGCATCGTGCTACAGAATCTTACATAACCAGGGCTCCCAGTAAGCTTCCCTCCCACTCAGGGACAGGAGGCCCACGGAGTGGATCATACACCATCTTCAAGCTCTGCCTGAAGATGCCTCTCACACGTTCATTGTAATGGATTTTGAAAAGCTACAATCAGAACAAAAGAACACATTAAAAGAATAAAATCAGAATCCTCTTAACGGAACCAGCGCACGCTAAGCCGATTCCCCGGTTCTGTTCATTATCCTCGCCCACCAAAGGCGACCCCACAGAACCCCTTAAACGCAGCTGGTTCTGAAATAGGTCTTTTTACAGCATCTCTCTGATGTAGTTGCTCAGCAAATTGAAGTCACTTTAGGGGTTAGAGGGACACAGAAAGGCAGATGTGATGGCAGGGCCAGAGTAACCCATCCCCGGAGACAGCAAAGTTAATGTCTTATTTGATCTGTTTGGGTTTTTCATCATTCTGAAGTCTTTAAGGTTGAGGCCGGTAAGATCAAAGGGAATTTCTTTCAGTTCAAATCTGCGTTTAATTATAATTCTCGAAGGACTAGTGACCCATGGTGCTTATGTCAGTGCAGGATATGAGATGGGACGTTGGCACGAAAACGGTAAGATCATAGCTTAGCAAGTATGGATCTAAGTCAAGCACCTTTACAGGTGGTTTACTTCATCACCGGCGATTTGCTGATGGCCTGTGGTGATGGCTGTCTCCGGGACAGAGTGACGTATCAGGACACAGCCTGAGAATAACCTCAGTGGGTGTCTCCTTTCACTCTTCGCCGATATCAGCTCCGCCTCACCGCTGTGTGGTGCTGCAGCGGTTACGGCAGCAGGGTGGGACTCCCCTAGAGGTGCGGCTGATGGGCCAGACGAGCAGGAAACCAGGAGTGACTCGGAGAGTCACATGTGATATCGATCAAACAGCTATTTTTGGGCGCTGACCGAAAGTTGGGTTGAATCCAGGAGTCGGCAGCTTACCTCCGCTGCCGATTTAGCAGGAGAAGGTCACCAGTCATTTAACAATGGCGAGAGTGAAGTTGCACCCTTCTGTGTCCCTCCTGTTTCCTGGATCAATGCATTATAAAAGGGCCGGTGTGTGGGTTCGGATGCTGTGCCTGTGATTGGAGGGTCGCTGGTTTAAATCCCACGGTTGTCAGAGTAATTTCCCCGTTAGGCACTTGAGTAAAGCACTTAACCTCCAATTGCTGCTGGAACTGGCTGACCCCAATTGTATGTCACCTGCTAAATATATGTAAATGTAACTACAAAAGGGTAGGTTGGTGATTAATGTCACTCTAACCTGTGTTACAGCATTGGTCACAGCAAGTGGGAGTGGTATAACGTACCGGTGACAGGGTCAGGTGTGGGTGACGAGGCTGTTTCTGGGGGGTGAAGCCTCACTCTCCATGGGGAGGGCATAGCAGGATGGCTCCCTGTAAGGGCACTCTACATAAAGCAGTCAGCAGTGGTACCGCCCTGCTCTCACGCCAGCCTCGTCAGCGTTGCAGAATCACCGGTGACATTAGAGCCGGGACATCAGACGTCGTCTCGCTGCACTGCGGAAAGCTCTCCTTACGTTCATTACTTCACTGCCCTCGTGTGGCTCTCACGCCGCCCTGTGTTCCCACAGCCACGCGAGCGCCTTTCCTGTCCCGTTTCAGGCTCTGATATATGCTCTCCCTGCTCTACACCAAGCCTGCCCTCCTGCTTTTCAAGTCACCCAATGGGGAGCCGCTTCACTCACCACCACTGTGTAGCCCCCACCTGGATGATGTGACAGCAGCCATTCTGCACCAGTACACTCACCACACAGTAGCTAAGGTGGGGAAGGGGCAGGAGAGAATTCACCAGTTAGATACAGGGGATGATTAGGAGGCCAGATCTGATGGGGCCACAGTGGGCAATTTTAGCCAGGAAACGGGGACCTCCCCCCTACTCTTTTGAAAGGTGCCCAGGGATCCTTCATGACCTCAGAGAGTCAGGACCTCGGTTATATGTCTCATCTGAAGGACGGCACCATTTTTACAGCACAATGTCACTGCACTGGGGCACTGGGACCCACACAGACCACAGGATGATCTAACCTGTTAGCTACACCAACACCTCTTCCAGCAGAAACCCAGCTTTCCTAGTTGGTCTCCCATCCAACTAATAGCTAAAAACCTCATCAAGGGACCCTGAGACTCTTCAGGGGGGATGTGTTTGTGCACCTCTTCCAGCAGTTCTCTGTGCTGCTTCTGAAATGTGGTCGTCAGTCTGCAGGCTTCTCTTGCATTTATTGACAACTGGAGATAAGTTAAATTCCCTTTGTGTGTGAACATACTTAGCCAATAAACCTGATTCTGATACCAAAGAGGAAAGACCTGGAGCCTGGCGAATTAGCTACTCTCCAAATGGTTATATGTTGAATGTGCTGCTGGTCCCTCTCATTTTCTGCTGTGTGCCTCTCAGTGTCTCCTTCTCACCATCTTCCTCTGTGTCTCCTGCAGGACTGTCTGATTCTGGAGAAGAACAGCCTTTCCCATCCAATCTGCTCATTCCAGGATGACTTTCAGGAGTTTGAAATGATTGACGATGATGATGACGATGATGATGAAGGCAATGACGAGGATGAGGATGATGAAGAGGAGGAGGACCTTGAGGCTCCTCCCTCTCCTTCGGCCTCCACACCAGGTTCTCCAACTGCAGGCATACTGCAGAAGAGCCGGCCCACCACCCTGAACCTATTCTCTACTGTCACTCAGGTGTGTATTGCTCTGTGTCTGCTGGTGCCCTTGTGCCCCCCGCCCTGGTCCAGTCCCCCCCTCAGCTGGAGAGCTGACTCATTCAGCAATTGCTGCTAGTGATGCTGACTCCGCCGTCTCTCCTCAGGATTCCTTGAACAACAACTGCGGTGTCTCTCCACGCAAGGCGAGCTGGCAGGAATCCCTGGGCAGACCTGCCTCCCACGGTGAGTAGCAAGCATGCTGGTCAAAAAAATTAGTGCAGAACTTACACAACTTGTATATGCATTGACATTGGGATAAAAACATCTGCCTTTGCTCTGCTTTTAGTCTCTTTTTAATCCATGTTTAGTCTGCATTTAGTGTATTGGTCTATCTTAGTCTTTCAGTCTGAAGTTTGCATTGCATCATCTTTTTGATGCTGTACTCTGAAGATGACTCTAATGAGTCCTTTTTGCCTCTGCCCTAGGTGTCATCTTAGGTTCAGAATGATGGATCTCATGCCACTCTGTCACATGGCGGGGGTGGGGGGTGATCTTTCTAGTGCAGTTAATTGAACGACTGTTTGTATTTACAATGTTTTGCTCTGGTTTCCGAAGTGCCTCAACGAGACACGGTCTTCCTCTAATTACCGTAGGATGTTTGTCCCCAAATCATTCATGCCATGAGGACGGCACCCATGTCCAGGGCCAGTGTGCAGCCGTGCCTGGTGTGGGGTCCCAAAGCAAAGGTACACCCCCAAATCAGTGTGTGGAAACTGGGCTTACACGGTCGCCCCTCAAGCCCCTCCTGTACGACTATGAGGGCAACAGACGGGAAAGGCCAGAATACGGTAAAATAACACCTGACCCGCCCATGGAATATCACAACATGAGCATTCTAGCATCTGCGCTATCTCCACTGTATTCCCCTTTCCCTAACAGCCGGATGTCCCCTAAACACTGTCTTTCTCCAACAGGGTCATTTGGTCAACATAAAATGTCCAGCAGCTCCGATGCTGAAGAGGAGGTCAGCGCTGATGACCTGTCTCAGTGCTCTGATGCTGGAGCTGAGCAGGACCTGAGCAGTGACTGTGCCGAAAGGTCACTAAGTCACACTAGACAGGCTAATGTCACGTACACGGTCACCAGTGAGTTAGCCATGGACCCCGATCTAGAGAACGACATCACTTTAGACGTCACCAGCAGGTGCCTCTCCTCCACGGCATTGGCTTACAGCCAGGCTGGAACTCCCCTGTCTGACGAAGAGCTAGACAAAGATTTTGAGGTAGACTTTACAAACAAAGAAGGCTATGATGGCTATAAAGAGACAGAAGCTTCATCTTACGTAGAGTTCCCTCCTATTGAGCCTTGTGAACCAGCATCTTTCTCCAGTTATGACTCTTCCTCCATCCCATCTGATGGAGACCTACCAGTAGTACCATATGAACAGGGTCTGGACCCTCAAAGCCACCCATCCACTGGCTCCAGTGACACCAACTCTCCATCGTCAGACCCGGGCATTGCCGACATGAATAGCAAAGGCTGCAAGCGATATGCTCCATCGGGCCACAACAGCGATAACCTCAGCTCCCCAGGATCAGAGTCAGATGTTGATGGTGAGCTGGAGGCCGCCTTCCATTATGGGGGACCTCTGGTCAACCACATGATCTCCTCCATCTCTGAGACAGAACTGGACCTGACCAGCGAGAGCAGCAGTGGTCGCTCGTCGCATCTTACTAACTCCATCGAGGAGGCCAGTTCACTAACTTCTGACCAGGACCTGGAGGCAGAGCTGGAGCAAGAAGGTGGACTTGTGGGTATCAAGGCATCCCTTCTCCTGGGGCAGCCTGAAGCTATCAAAGAAGCCTCGCCAAGCTCTGAGTCAGGGAACTTGAGGAATCTTGTTGAGGACCAGCTGCTGATGGACATGGAAGGTGCTGATGGTGCACATGCCATTCAGGCAGACAAAATGGAACCAGCTGCAGACCAGAGCGAGAAGAGTCCCTCCAGGCACCTGGTCCTGGAAATTGAGCCAGATCACTGCTTAGATAGCATTAAGAGGTCCTTCTACCTACCTGTAGCATCCAAACTTATGCCTGCTGTAGATGACAATGAGTGTGACTCTGAATCAGAGTCAGAGGCTGATATTAGTGAGAATTCGGATTCCCCCTGGCTCCTTAGTAACCTTGTCAACAAAATGATTTCTGAGGGTTCTTACCCTATCAGTTGCCCAGAGGAGTGCTTCACAAGTTCTTCCTCCATCTCTGACGCATCTCCCATGTCAGGCCTGGAGACAAATGCTTTTAATGAGCCTTTAGACAGTCTGCAACAAGAAATGAAATCAAATGGTGACAAGCTGGTAAAGAGCTCTATGGAAACAAAGAAAAGCCCAAGTTTACACATAGGGATGGATATAGAGGAGCACCGTGCAGAAGATGACAAGGAGGTGGCCTCTGAATACAGTGTAAGCCAAGTGGGAAGCTACAGCTCGGGAGTGTCTCTGTACCTGAGTAACCCAGCTAATGACACAATCACCCCCATCTTCATGGATCAAATCAACAGGACATCTAGTCAAGGATCAGAAATGGTGGATTCAGACCAGTTTCCTTCTAAGGCTTCCGCAGCTGTTCCAAGATCTGTGAAAAATCAGAAGGAAGCAGAATCATCTTCCAAAAGTGAGCAAGTGGAGACAAAAGAGTTTGCAACCTTGTATCTGAGCACGTGTGTGGATGGTCTGTGTGATGGGCAGCAGAAAGAGCAGGAGGACACAGGCTCACTCTTGACAGAGTTTAAGGACATTCTGTCTCTGGACATCTCCACTGCTCAGACTAATCATTGCTTCAGCCTGACCTACTCCACTGCGAAAGATGATGACTCCCTGCAGGAGTCACTCCAGTGGTCCCCATATGGCCAAGCCTACCTGAACAGCCCCCGCCCTGTCGGCAAGAGCGAGGGGGAGGCTCCGTCACCAATGGATGCTCCGAGAGCAAGGCTGTTGGACGAATCGCTGGCCTATGACACAATGAAGTACACGCTGGTGGTTGACGAGACAGCCACATTGGAGCTGGTGAGCCTGCGGAGATGCACGTCCGTCTTGAGTGATGACTCCGACCTCTCCACACTCTGTGAGGATGACTGCCCCGTCAGTGGAGATCCAGAGCTCTGCGGCACCTCTGAGGACTCCTCCCCAGAGGAGGATCTGCCATTCTCCAAGAAGTTCCTCAATGTCTTTGTCAACAACACCTCACGATCCAGCAGTAAGTATAGAAACCAGCTAAAAAGTACAATTTCCTTAAACTTTGCTTAAATATTCCAATCACACTGACTCTCGGCACTTTGCTTTACATCACCCAGGTTTTCAGACCTACTGACAGACCACGTTATCTTCTGGTAGACCCAGGCTTTAATTGCCTGTCACTTTGACTTGTAGTCTCTATCATGAGCTATGCAGTAGGAAAAACACATACCCACAAAAGATGACGACATATATAGTTATGTATAGTTATATACAGAACCTATGCTTCAGTGCAGGTAATGCATTTACATTCATCCAAACGTAGATTTTATTAGGTTTTGGCACTAATACATGCACCAATAAATAGGAAAAAAACTTAAAACACTGTGCTCTGCCAAGTCGGATGATTGATACCATCACATCATAGACAAAGAAGTGCAATCAGAATAATAAGAATCGCTTTGAACTCTGATGGCTTGTGTTCTTCTTATTAGAGCTTCAACACAAACATTTCTGCACTAAGCTGATGAAGTTTGGATTCTATCTCCATTACTTTGATTAATAAATGTCCCACAATGAGACACTATACATAATCCTATTGCCATTGGCATAGGAACAGTTGCACCTAGGCCAAGATGCTATTTTGCTGACATAGCTTAGCTCAGGACTTCAGCTGTTTTTTAAGGAACAAAAATTGCCTGATGCTGAGGAACATTTTTGTACCGTTGGGGTTACATTAATGTTGTTTGTACCTTAGGGAACAAAACTGTACCAGAGCTGTACCCTTTATTCTGAGTGTATTTTAATAAATAAATAATGAATGATAAGTAGGTTATACAGTAGCACATAATTAGGCCGAGATAAATGAATCAAAATGACAGTAGCATCTTCTTGCAGGCTGTGATTAGAGGGCACTATTTGGGGTTAAATCCTAGCACCCATGTCCCGTCTGTCATGTCCCTGGCAGCTAAATAATCTGTGCCTCGCATATAGGAAGTGTGACAGGGGGAAATGTTAGCAGCTAACATTAGCTAGCTTGCTGATCTATGTAGAAGTCTGACGTCGGTTTGTTGTACTTTGCCCTCCTTTTAAAAGATTGCCGCGTTGCATTGTGGGATGCAGTAGGCAAGGTAGACTGGTCTTGTGCATACTGGTGATATTTTCAAAATCAGTATGATGTCTCATTGGCGTACTGCAAATGTCATATTTTTCACATACTGCATACGACATACTACTTTTAGGTCTAAATCAGTATATACTAGTAGTATAGTATGTGGCTTCAAAAATAGCCCATCTTTACTCTGTAAAACTGCTTCCCAAAACAATGACAAGACAAGAAGATGAGCTATGGTAATGTTCTGTCTGCTGGGCAACAGGATGCTTTCCCTTACTGCACAGGTACCGAGTCCTTTGCCGTCTTCTCCTGCACCATCAACGGAAAGGAAAGGGAGCAGACACACCGGGCTGTCTTCAGGTGAGTCTCCACCCAGCCTCAATCTCAGTTCGTACGACTTTTAGGGAACAAACGTCAGGAAACAAGCAGCCGGACACCTAGGAGTTAAAATAAGTTGGAATTGAGTGAAATGGGTCTGGATGGTCCAGCACTTATGAGTGTGATGCAACAACTACAACAAAATGTATCATGGGTGGCCTGCTTTGATGCCTTCAGGCATGAGGAATGATTGGATTGCTGTGAGGGTCCTGATCGGAGCCGTGACGGACTTTGAAGCTGGTCTAATCTCATTATTCCAGCTCTGCTCTGAGTGGCCTCTGCATCGTCATGCGAAGGAGGGATGTGGTGTGGCAGAACGAGGGCAGTGTCTCTTAGGGAAGTCTAGTTTGTGTTTAAGGCCAGGCCACCGGTGAAGGACGGACAAGCTAACCCTTCAGAGCGTCGTGTCACACGCTGGCACCCACACAGAGCTGTACCTCTTTGAGGACACACCATACCCCCTCAGGTTCATCCCCAGGCACGCGGACGAGCTTGAGCTGGACATAGACGATCCCTTGTTTGTGGAGGAAGAAGAGGATGACCACTGGTACAGGGGCTACAACATGCGTACAGGCGAGAGGGGGGTCTTCCCTGCCTACTACGCTCATCAGGTCGTGGGCCACGTGAGGGAGATGCTGGGTAAGACCTTTTAAAGAAGCAGGTCCTTTAGCCTTTTCCCGAAGGACTGTCTGTGCGCTGAGACGAAGCGAGATGAGTGTAAACGTGCCTGTTTGTAACAGCATGGCCGGCTAACTGTGGCTCCTTAGGGCTGAAGAGGAACACGGCCTGGGTGGAGACCTTCTGCGTGCAGTTCCTTGGATCAGTGGAGGTGCCCTATCACCAAGGCAACGGGATTCTGTGCGCAGCCATGCAGAAGGTACGGCAACCGCCCCCTCTGTTCAAAAACGCACCTCCCTTCTGTGGGACTGGCTTTGCGTCAGAGTGTCACAGCGACCACGGCAATCAGCCCATCTGCTCCCAGAATGTGGAAGCGTGACCGGATGCTGGTGTCATGTGACACGCTCTGCCGCACACGCTAGGGGTTAGCCGGTCCCTCAGTCCCGCCGGCACATGAAGGACACAGTAGACTTGTTTATTTCAGGTTAAATGTTTGGTGAAGCTTTACATTAACTGCACCTTCATAATGCATTTATAGAGAAGCCTGAAGTATCCCTTAACATGTCTTAAAGCGTTGCATTCATAATACTTTGAATGAAAATATAACAAACATGCAATTACACAATATGATAATAATGTTTGCTATTAATGTGCACTAAATGGAGAAAAGGTTTGGGACACCAGCCTGTCCAACATCTGACTCTAAATCAAAGGGTATTAATATGAAGCTGAGTGACCCTTAGCTGCTACAACAGCCTGTACTCCTCTGGGAGGGCTTTCCATTATGTCCTGGAACATGCTGGTGGGATCTGCTGCCATTCAGGTTGGGTATCCATGCTGGGCGATCAGGTCCCTGTCTGTGAGCTTGTGTGGCCCCCAGCTCACAGCTGAACTCGCTCCCAGATGTTTCCACTTCACAGTCACATCACTTGCGGTCGACCAGGAAAGCTCTAGCAGGACAGCAGTGTGGGGATCCGACTTGCTGGAAAGGTGTCCAATGGTGTCCAATGATGGTGCTGGGCTGGCTAAGGTCTCCTGTATGACCCCCCCCCCCCATTCTGATGCCATTGATGCTGCAGCTTGCTGGGCTGAGTGCTTAATTATACACCAGTATGTCAGCAGTGGGTGTGGCTTTTGTGGGCAACTCCTGTAATTACTACCGGTGTCCCAGTACTTTTGTCCATATAGTATATATGGAAGCTGTCATGTGCTGTTCATTGACACTTTAAGGCACTTACATGCTGCTTATGAACATTCTATGAATGCATCATGAAGGTGCAGTTAATGTAAAGTATCACCAAATGTTCGACTGTGCCGCCTTGGGGTTCATCCAGCATAGCTTTCATCGGCTGAGCTATTAAACACAAGCAAGTCCTGTTGTGCCCCCCCTCCCCCGACCCGGTGTAGATCGCTACCACGCGCCGGCAGACAGTGCACCTCCGCCCCCCCGCGCTCTGCGACCTGGAGGTCAGCCTGCAGGGCATTAAGCTGGTGATGAGTCTGGAGGACGACTACAGCCTGCTGGACGAGGTGAGCTGCCGGCAACTGCCGCATGCGCTCGCTGCACACGCACGGACCCGCGGCTGCGCATGTCTCACACGTCTGCCTGTCTGTGCAGTTTGACAGGTGCAGTCACTCCTTCCAAATGAAGAACATCTCCTTTTGTGGCTGCCACCCCAAGAACAACTGGTATGTATGTGTCTGTAAGGCCAGTCCGAGGTTGACTGGTATGTCTGTTTCTGTAAGGCCAGTCCGAGGCTGACTGGAATGTCTGTGTCTGTAAGGCCAGTCCGAGGCTGACTGGTATGTCTGTGTCTGTAAGGCCACTTCGAGGCTGGTGTCCACGGGCCCTGCTTCTGATTCCGATTAGGAATTGGCCTGCGGATGCCGAAACTGAATGTGGACAATGTCTCATTCAGGCTTAATTGTGTAGCATTTCGCTAATAACGTTCAGTTGAGTTATGTGAGTTCCTCTTTTCCTCTGCGTCTTCCTCCACCAGCTACTTCGGCTTTATCACAAAGCACCCTGTGCTGAAGCGCTTTGCCTGCCACGTCTTCGTGTCCCAGGAGTCCATGCGGAAGGTGGCCGAGGCCGTAGGGTAGGTTTCCCTTCGCACCTCCCCAGCCCCCACTCTCCGAGCGTCTCGCTTCGTTTGGAGGCACTAATAACGCGGCCGTCTTTCCTCAGTTAATTATAGCCGGCGGCAATTGGGGCTTCAGTTATTTCGGGAGACCCCTTTTTAATTTCCCACACAAATCAAGATCATTCAGCCCTTTGGTGCCCAGTAATGTAGAGTAATGAAGGTTAATACTAAAGGTCGGGGTGGAGAAGAGCGTCAGAAGGCTCCGGGCTCTGCCTGGGAGGCCCAGAGAAGCACACAGGGTTTTCTCAGCTCCTCATGGTTACCTTCAGTAAAAACTCGCTGGCTCTCGTTTCAGACAAGCCTTCCAGGAGTACTCCCAGGAACACCTGCAGTACGCTTGTCCCACAGAAGACATCTACCTGGAGTAGGGGACACCCGCTTTTCAGCCTGCTCACCAATTATGTATGTTCTTCATATGTTCCACAAGGGGGCGCTCAGTGCCCATCCTCTGATGTAAAATATCTTTTTCTCAGAGCAGAAGCGCAGGAGTCCTAAATGGCGAGCACAGCTTTGGGGAGTTTTTGTTAATTTTTTCTACTATATGGTATTTGACACTGAGCAGCCAAGGAATGCATTTTGGAAAACAAATCTAATTTTCTCCCATGTGAAAAAGTACAAAGAATGCCTGACCTCGGTGCATGACTTCAACTGTAATGCATACACACAGGATAGACATACACACAGGATAGACATACACACAGGATAGACATACACACAGGATAGACATACACACAGGAAATGCTGTCATTGTTATCAACATACTCTGTTGTATAGATTCTGGGGTTGGAATGAGCTGTGTGTAAATATAAATTAGGTAAATGTCAAAGAAATGTGGGTTTTATTTCTACTGAAACAGACTTTTGTTGAGCTAGAGAGTTTATGCAGCAGATATGCATTCTCCGGGAATTACACCACAAAACCTGGAAAGCCAAAAGTTACATATAAGAACTTAGTGTAAATAAATGTATAAAAGAGAGCAGAATTAGATGAGTCCTTAAATAATGAAAGCAGTGTGCATCCCAGGCTCACACACAGTTGTTAGGGTATTTTCATCTTGCAAAGTCGATGCAGATTGTGAGTCCGCAGGGAGCACAGGCCTGGGTGCGAATGGGCCATCAGTCAGAACCTAGCTGCTGTACGCCACGGCTGTCCCGGATGTGAGTGTCTGTCCCGACCGCTCGAGGGCCCAGAAACCGCAACAGTGTAGGTGCGTGCAGCAGCAGTGAGGCGCTGCTGCCAGAAGAGGGCGCTTCTCCAGCTGGCTCCACTGGAGCAGAAGTCCTGAATGCTTCCGGAACAGCAGTGTGAGCAGAGCGGGCTCCAGAGCGTATTTTATACTTAAAAAATGTTATTTAGGAAACATGTACAGCTGAGTATTTTGCTGGAGCGATTCAACTTAGCTTCTTGCCCATAGAGTCTCTCCCCTGCAGAACTTGCTTCTGATCACAAGTCCGACCCTTAGCCACTTTGGCGTCCGTACTATTGAGCTATTACACTGTAGCGGGTGCAGACAGTTCTGTCACTGGTATGCCTGAAGCATCGACATCTCGTATTTTCATTAGTTATTCAAGTAATGTAATATAAGCAGCCTTGTTTACCAGGAAGAATTTGTTTTGCTAGTCTGGCTCTGCATTGATGTGGGGCGTGCCGGCTTGGCTCCTTCTCCCAGACACAGGGCATTCTCTGATCCCAAAGATCAGACTTCCTTTTTTTCTGCGGATTGTTGCCAGGGATTGTGGGATATCAGCTTTTGATAGCTGTTTCTTTGTGAAGGAGATGAGACGGAACCCTTCTGAAGGTGAGCCGTGCTGCTCTTTTACCTTATTGACGCCTGTAACCGTGAGGCGACTAACTGCCCAAATCCATACTTTGGTCAAGTAAAAGAATAAAAGCTAAAGAAAGGCAACAACAGGGGTGGCATGGTGGCACGTGGAGTTTGCATGTACCATCCGAAAACATGCTTAGTTGGAGTTATCAAATCACCCATAGGTGTGCTTGTGTGAGGGACTGGCAGCCCAGACTGGGTTGTTCCTGCCTTGTGCCTGTAGCCTCCATGATTGGCTCCAGACCCCCTGCAACCCTGAATAGGACAAGTGGGTACAGACAGTAGAGGATGGGGAGGAGTCAGTGCAACGGCTTAGAGACAAGTATGGCTGAAGGAGCATGTTGTCAGGAAGAAGTGAAAACAAAACTGCATGTTATGTACTTCTTAAGGATGCTGTTTTGGTTAATGGAGTTTTCCAAATTAAATATGTACTGCAGAATTCCCAGTCCTGGAAGCCATAATGGCTGTTCAGCATCATCTATCATCTCCTGCTTCAGGAGGACTGGGCCTTAGCCATGCTTTGAATGCTTACTGCAAACCTGCCTGAGAGGAAAGCGGCCAGCTTCCTGAAAGCTTGTCGTCATGCCTTCTGCTCCAGCATTTCGATTCTATGGACACGTTTGAATTGAGTTCATTCAGGCATTTTTGTTATGTGGTTGTAGCTAGCCATGTCAAATACGCTTGCGGACTTGTGATAAAGGTAAAAATGTGTACTATTTTAAAAATATGGTGTACACTGGTTTTTTGGATATTGCTCAGTGTGTATATCTGAGGTCAGTGGAACAGAATTAGGCGAGATTCACAGAGGGACACTGCACCAAAACACACCATTCCAAGATAACCAAGTCATTTATCTCCATATGCCAATGATACATCTTTAATATAAGACAATATGACAGAGATAATGTGCCTTTTAATTCTTTATGGTCTTTTGTGGGTTTTTCCTAAAGAAAATTGGTTGGGGACAAACTTGCCCTGTCACATTCTGTTGTGTCTTGCTTTTGATTGTTCTTCTGTGACTGTGCTCATCCTGGACCTGTTCCTCTGCCTTCTGTCTAGCTGAGCAAATGCACAAATCCAGTCCCAGAGTGACCCTGTAAGAACAAAAGACACCCGTTTCCTGTCAGTGTAGTAACATACACTAACTCAAATTGTGATATTGCTAAATAAAAAAAAACAAACAATTTATTTAAGGTGAGGGTTAAAAATGTGCACTGTGGCAGACAAAATCATCAGAGTCCACTATCCCACTTAGTACTGTCAACATCCATAGATAAGCTGCAACGGAGGTGGGAACCACCAGCAGCCTGCAGTTCTTTCTCCCGGTCTTGTTTTCATCCGTTTTGCATCAGGTTCATGCCGCCATTAGCAGAAGCGGATGCTGCCTGAATCCTGACCCAAGGATCGGCAGCATTTAGATTCACTGGCTGTGTCTGCTGTTGGCTGGGATAATGCTAAAGCTGTATAGAATGTGCTGATTTGCACTGCAGAGGCGATTAACCTGCATTTAGCACTGCATTTAGCACATGCCGACAGGCCACCGGAGGGGCTGCCTCATGCCGACAGGCCACCGGAGGGGCTGCCTCGTGTTGACAGGCCACCGGAGGGGCTGCCTCGTGTCGACAGGCTGCCGGAGTGGCTGCCTTGTGCTAATCAGACCGCAAGCCACACCTCACCCTGTGTGATCTCCAGTAGATGCTCCTGTAGCCATGAATGTCCTGACTTTAGCATCTGCGCAGCCTAGCAGATGACTCATGTATAGCTGTGTAGAAACAAACCTATTTAAAGCTGAACCTTTGTACAGATATCTTTCATATGATAGGAAGGCCTATTGCATCCCGCTCTGGTATGTTATTCAAAAATGTGTCCTTTTGCTTTGTATCCCTGTGTATTTATTGCTCCTGCCGTCATTTCAGTGCAAGAAAGGTCCCAAGAATGTTCCCATCTTGAAATGGCCAGTCCTTGCTAACCCCTCTGCTCCTGGTAGATGCCACCAGCTCTCGCAGGTATAATCCCTAAGCGCGTGACTCTGGTCCTCAGCTGCAGACTCCTAACTGTATTGACCCAAAACATCAGTATGTGTCCAACTTGTATCTCTACAATAAAGACTTTCTGACTTATTCACAATGCCTTGTGATTTGACCTTATGAATAAAATATATGCTTGATGTGAACAGCGTACTTCTCTGGTTAATGTGAGCCCCGGGACAGCCCAGCTGCCCTCAGTCAACACCACGCCTACAGAAGTTATGGGCTATGACCGGGGCACTGACCCATATTTATCCTTGAGGGAGATCTTACATTAATCGTGAGAGAAAGCTGGTGACTTAGTGCTCCGCTCCTCCATTAACAGATTAATAACCTCACCAGGACCTGTGTTTCCCTCTTCCCCTCTAAGATATCTGCACTGGGGGCGGAACAGTCTGCAAGCCACTGCCAAGTTCCTGCTTTGCTGACATGTAACTTGCTGTCAAAGAATTCACACACAGATGTTTAGTATTGTCAGATAGTTTACTGAGATGATTAAAAGACAAAGCAACAAGTAAACTAAAATATGAAGCGGCACAGAGTCCCAACAGGAGGCTCTGTCTTCACTGAAACATAATTTCCCCAAACTTACATACGCGTCACTCCTCATACCCTACCTATGATACTACACTCTTAACCAATCACATATGGTGCTTGAACCACTTATAAAAATGAAAATCCACACGGACACATGTCCACCGGGCTCACAACCTGCACACCTAGGAGGTATCAGATCATCTTAGCCAGACATCAAGGCCGAGGAATGATAAACTAGGATATAGAGAAGAATGGAACAGCATGAAACTCTGCAATGACCCTTCACATGCTTCAGTGATTTGGACTTTGGAAGAACTACCTAAAAGAAAGCACTCCATTACAGGAAGTGCTCCCTAGCAGGAAGTGCTCTCTAACAGGAAGTGCTCCCTAGCAGGAAGTGCTCTCTAACAGGAAGTGCTGCTTAACCTATAGCCTCATTTACAGAGAATAAGATAATTAGTAATGACCTATCCTAGAAGAAAGTCATCTATATGAGTAGTAGTTGATCAATAATAAATCCCCAAATCTAAGATCATTGATAGAAAGTGTAATCTTCCATATTAAAGAGTCACACTAAAATTACTCTTGTTCAGTTTAGACGCAGCTTCCTGAGACCTTGGTGGCTAGTTTTGCACTCGTGGTCTGGTGACTGGTCAAGTTTGCAGCTTCCCTAGGCAGTGGGCTTGTCAGGAGTGGGTGCTAGACCTCTTTCCAAAGACCTGGTCTAACCAGTGGGGCCTCCCCAAACATAATGGCCTTCTCAGACTGTACCTTCACCTTTTGGAAATGCTTCAGCACAGCCTCGTATTCCGGGTGATCAGGCATGGCTAGGCTGTTCTCCGATAGGTCGGCCTCCTGGTCAAAGAGCAGGGCTGGATCATGCCGCTTGAGAAGGGAAGTTGGGTGACAGTCCTGATCTGGGGTGGTGTCACTATGGCAGCACTTGGAACCATATATGGAGAAAACGAGGTTGCCTCACTGATGACTGAAGAAAGTCAGACTCTGAAGTCCCTGTGGTTAAAAGCTGGCCAAGCCTACAGTGTGCTGGTCCGGTTTCATCAAAACTTAAAGGTTGGGTATGTGATTTTAATCCAATGCACTTTTTGTCAATCTCACCTACTATACTCATGAGATTTGGGAAGTGACCGAAAGAATGAGATCGTGGATACAAGCGGCAGAAATGAGTCTCCTCCGCAGGAAGTCTGTGCTCAGCTTTAGAGATGGGGGGAGGAGCTCAGACATTCAGGAGGGGCTCAAAGTAGAGCTGCTGCTCCTCTGCATTGAAAGGAGCCAACTGTGGATGTTCGGGCATCTATCTAGGATGCCTCCTGGATGCCTCTCTGCAGAGGTATATTGGGAATGTCCAAATGCAAGGAGGTCTCAGGGCAGACCCAGGACACACTGGAGAGATTGTATCTCTCAGCTGCCCTGGGAACGCCTTGGTATTCCCCTGGGGGAGCTGGAGGAAGTGGCTGAGGAAGGGGTGGTCTGGGCATCCCTGCTTAGACTGCTGCCCCAGCAACTGAGCGCTGGATAAGTGCCAGAGGATGGATGGAGATCTCCAAATTCAAAGCCATACAGTTGCAGACTGGTTTGCCCATGTGATGGTCAACAGAATGTGGAGAGTAGTGGCCAGCACATGCATTACATCTGGAGATGGGCTGAGGTCCTGCTCACTCTTTATGTTATAGAGGCTACAGACACCCCCTCTTCCCTGCCCCCCTCTTCCCTGCCCCCCTCTTCCCTGCCCCCCTCTTCTGCTCCTGCCCAGCAGAAATGCTCAGTGTGCATATTTTACAGATAAAGGACAATGATCCTCTTAAATCACGCTTTTATCTGCTGTCCTCACTTATACAAATAAATGGCATCAATAACCCAGTTTCAGCATCAGTCTGCTAAGCTTAAAATGTATCAATCAAAAGATGAAGGGAAAAACTAGGTCTAAAATGTTACCTTTTTGTGAAACATAATCAATACCTGTGATAGTGATCATAAGACCAAGTTTTCTCTACTTTGCATTCAAAAAGAAATCATAGATTCCTCCTACCTGGTGAAACAAGCCAGAAATGTGCGTAAAAGACACCAACAAAAATGATAACACCAATGTTTAAGGCAACAGAACATGGAAATGACTTAATAAGTGACTGTCCCTCTGTCTAAATATCATACTTCATTTTTGGGGAATGGAGCCCAGCCTCATCCTGGGTGCAGCCTAGGATCTGAAATGCTGTGCTTCACCAAACATGCCTTAAGACATGCCTTCATTAACAAACACAATTATGCTTTTATCTTGTGTCTTCAATTCAATTTATTTTTATACACTCAGCAAGACAACGTGAAAATCCATTACAACATCATTTATACAGAATGGGCCATGAAGCAGGAGAAAAGGGGAAGAAGAAATGCCAGCAAGCTGTGAGGATCGGTGTCCGTCAGTCCCTGTCCCTGCGTTTTCTCCCTGTTTGGCCAGCAGGTGTCACTGTCCATCCTGTTCCCTCCTCTAGTGTGTTTGCTTGCTCCCTGGGCCACTGTGTGGCTTAAATACATTACTAACAAGCCTAGACAGGGGACAGGTGATAACCATAACAAAACTGATCATCAAGGGTCCAGGGAAACAAGGAGACAGTGGTGTAGTCGCAATTAACAGGCAAAGAAGAGGTCAATTGACAGATAAGGAAAAGGGACCAAATGCTAAGGAAGAACAAAACTAGATCAAACAGGAAACAACAAGTAAAAAAATAATTAAAATTAAGGAACTGTAACTGAAATACCAATACAAACGATAAACCAGTAAAGTGCAAAGCTAACGCACATTAAATAATAAGTATCTGAGAATAGCCTCTGGCTAACCTCCAACCAATAACCAGAAAAGTGGAGGTGGGAACAGTGGCTGAATACTCAGCCCATTTAGTGCCCGTTCTTGTTCTGTTCCTTGTTGTTCATTGTGGCTGAATCCCTGTGTGGCATTGTGTTTATTGACTGTAGTCATGATGGTTTCTCCCTGTTAGTTATTGTTCCTGTCTGCCTTTGGTATTGTTGCCCCGGTGTTGCTCCCTGCCTTAGTTTCTGTTGTATCTTCCTTGAGCCCCTTGCAGTTCCTTTATTTCCTGCTTCACCCTTTTTGTTTGTTTTGTTTAATAAACCACGGTTAGATGTAGCTGCTACGTGGATTGCCTCTCCTTTTGTCATGCCTGGCAGTAATGGCAGATGACAGGGGAGAGGACTGTGTGTGTGAAAGGACAGCATGATGGGATATCTGAAAAAAAAAAACATTCCAGTCTTCCTGTATTTGTACATTTCATTTTCATTTCATTCTCCCTAAAGAAGCAATAACTGTAAGGGTCAGACTTCCGGTTGAGTGAACGCTGCCGCGTTTGGCTGCTGCTGCTCCCCGAGATAGCTGTTATTTTCATATTTTACTTACTTTTAACACAAAGGTGTTGCGGCTCCCGCTGTGCACCAGAACCTGCATGATATTTTCAGCCATACTGTGGGACTCCACCGGGGAATGGCCACACAGACCCCTGCGGGACCCTCCCTGCAGACTGTGGATAGTGGGTGTGCCGCAGAGACAAGCATCATCCATCACGTCAGCATGAGAAATCACATCGATTAACAACCCAATAAAAAATCACATCGGTTGCAAAGTTCCTCTGCCTCACAAGAAGAAGAGCAGGAAAGGACAGGAGGTATGAAAAATAAAAGATTACTTTTCTGTTTGGTTCAGTTTCTCAAAATGAAAGATATTCTTGAATGATATGTTGAAACGTCATTTCATTACCATGGTTTTTTATTAACTAATGTAGAGCATTCACTGCTAGCTAGTGGAACAGCCGATTCAGAAAGGGGCGGTTTGGAAGCTGTTTATGTCCATGGCCTATGTATGAGCATTAAAGATCAATTTTATAAAATATACAATATTTAACTGCAAATCAGGCAGTTTACTGCCTCCCAGTGTACATGCGGCGTACTAAGATGCTGATAAGCAGTTCAACAACTTGCACAACTTGCACAACTACATTTCCCCTGTGAGATTTTATGCTTTGTGATTTTGTTTCTTGCTACATTCTTCAGAAAGGATTTCGATTAGTCAGTCGATAAGACTGTGACCCGAGGTAAATATAAGGTAAATATAAGGTAAATATGAGCACTGCTTCGTACAGAGACATAGGAACAGCACAAAATCAGATTTAACACCTGGAAGGACTGCAGCCAGGGGTACGGCGAATCTGACTCCAGCTTAGGGGTCAGGGAGCTGGGGTGTCCGCAAGTAGCCAGGTCCCCAAAGCGCAGATGACCCTGGAACAGCAGGAAGGAAGTGGGCATCTGGAAAGCCCAAGGTGGGGTACAGGACACACAGAAGCATGTGCCGAACTGTCATGTCCCCTCATTTTCATCAGTTCAGTTGCACACGGTTTGGTGTCACGCCTTGGGACAGCACTGTCACATGCCAACATCAGGAGAGAAACAAGGGGGAAAAAACACCAGAAATCTGGCCAGCACCACCCTACTGACAACATATTAATTATGCTGGGTCATCTAATCATGATGAGCATGGCCCCA